GTGTGTGTGTGTGTGTGTGTGTGTGTGTGTGTGTGGCTATTGATTGTAAGTTCAGATTTCTGGGGAGAAAGCATCTTTTTTTTTGGAAAGGGGGAGGGGTGTGAGTTATTTCACGTGGATGAATCCATTATAAATGACTTTATACCTGAAACAGTTTCTTGTAGTTGGAAGTGAAAAACAAAGCATGAAAGTGTGCTCTGCATGCGATGAATGAAACAGCACTAGTTATTGATTTGGAGCTCAGATTTCTAGGTAAAGAGGGTGTTTCAGGGCCAAAGTTCCTCTAAAGTAGAGTTAAGCTCATATCTGGACTATTTGTAAACTTTGCTTTTTGTTTGCGAAARGACTGGAAGTGACAGGGAGGTGTATGATTTCCAAATCGTGTCCTAACTAAAGGAAAATAATCCAGCGTGTAGTGTTGCCTACCTCAGAGGCTTCGCTCCATCCGAGGCCTCTTTGATACTCAAAGCGTTCGCCTCCGTGTGTCTCCTGGGTGTCGTTGCTTATTGAGAGAGGCTCATCACTGTCTCCTGGCCTCTTTGAAGGTGCGCTGCACGGATGTAACTCACCTTTCTCCACCTCCGGTTTCGMGACAAATTCCCCCTCCAGCCAGTCAAAGTGATGACCACACACGGATGCGGGCTGAGTGGAGTGAAGCAGTGATGCTGACAGTTTGCAGCCCTGCAGCCTCATCAATGTAACCCCCGGGCCTTGTACGCTGTAGTCAGTTTATTCTCATTGCATTAGTGCAGGAGCGGTTGTGATTGTTTGCATGTGTTTATTGATGGATCCATTAAAGCAATGCTAAAATTTATACTCTGTTCAAGACATACCTTACGGTTTATTTCATCTATTTCATAGCAGCACGAGGATTTAGTGGTTCTGTCTCAACAAGAAGGTCCTGGGTTTGATTRTTGGTTAGGACATCATGTTCTTCTCGTGTTCGCACGAGTTTTCTCACAGTACTTTGGCTCCAGAAACACACGTTACACTCCCTTCAGGCTCAGGCCTCCCTTACAAAAACGATCTGTGAACTCTGGGATTTAATAAAGGTTAATAATAATAATAATAATAATAATAATAATAATTTTGAATGTTTATGCAAGAAGAATTTCTGCAAAAGGAGAAATTCAAAAAGCTGCTGCACTCGAATGGTTGCAGTAAAAGTCTAAATGTTTGGATGTTTGACCAAATATACATTAAATGTCTCCGTTTCATGCAGGTGAGACAACTGTGTACAACACACTAAAATACGATTTCATTGTCATGACGGCTAATTTAAAACTATTTTTGAAAGCATTCAGCCTTCATATTTTTCACATAAAGTTATAATAAATGTATAATATTTCAGTGCTGCTCTTTTTGTATCTTTTTTATTCTAACCCACATACAAAAGCTCATATCAACCATAGTGTGTACAGTCCACAAGCTATATAATATGTTTAGCATAAAATACTTATTTTTGTGTATCAAATAGGATAGAAAAACATCAAATGTMTTTTAATCCAATTAGAGCAGTGATTCCCAACCTTTTTAGWCTTGTGTACTCCTGAGCCATTTTGTCATGSCACTAGTACCACTCTGTCAAGCATAATAATTCTCCAAAACTAGAATGTACGACAGCTGATTATTAAATGAAAATTATTTATTTAACTCTCTAGAACATTTAGTTCTCAGGCATTTTATTCTTTTCAACTCAAATTAAACATAAAGATAAATATGTTTCCTTGAAAATGTATGAGTAATTAAATAAATAAACCAGGTGATGGCAGGTGCAGGAAGCAGCAGCGTCCAAAATACATCAAATACCACAAAATGAGCAAATTCTATGAGATTCCGCATTTTATTCAGGACTCATTGTAATTCCGTTTGCATTTTCCGCATTGTGAAAATCATAGGTCCCTACATATATGTCCCTTTTTTTTCACACACCTGGGAAATTTGTCCAGATACCCCCTGTAATACGCTCACGTACCCCTGGTTGAGAATCACTGAATTAGAGTTTTAGATCAAGAACAAAAGGCTCAAATGTATCAAACACTGTTGCAGTTACGACAATAAGTGACTAAGTGATACTTTCRGAGCAAACATTTGCTGACAAGTCCACACAGACCAACAAATCCCAGCATGCATTGTGCTGTGATGTGAGGGGTTGGTTTTAGGTTTGTGGTAATGGTTGTGATATACTGAGTTTAATGATGTAATGATTGTGAACATGAYTGCTAGAAAAAGTCAAAGCGGTTGGCACAGACGTGAATCTGGAAGTGAATGTTTCTTTGTCCTCAAAGAAAATACCAACTTTAATCTTTAAAAAAAGGGAGAAAGTGTTTTGATTTCAGTTAAAATTTTGTTAATGAGAAAATAAACTGAACAAAAGATTTTGAAACATTTAACTGATTCTGATTCAATCAAGATTTTTGGAAAAGGAAAAAAAAATGTTTTGACTAATTACAGTTATTAGAATTTTTGTTTTGTTAATATTTATTTTTTTTTTTTTTTTTGTAGAATTAATTTGGATAAAATACACAACAGAAATTATGACAAACGTTAACGGTTAAGGCTACGTGACAAAAAGCAGAACTTTTTAAACACGGTTTGGCTTTTATGCAGGACTATAGATGTTTTCTCTGCTTGGAAGATAGAAGAGACCAATGAGCGATTTGTTGTACAACATCTGGTAACCACAGTGTACATGTGTGTACCTGTGTGTGTGTGTGTGGGGGGGGGGGGGGCGGCCAGCGTTTAGCTCCAAGAGGAAGGTGTGACTGCCTTCCGTTTGAACTGCAGGTGGTGAGCATTACCTGCGGTCCCTCCGGAGGCCTGTCAGCCGTGCATCAGTCTGGGGAACCTGCGAGCTCCCCTCATTAGAATATTTATTCACCAAGCAGATGTTCTTATCCGGGGCAATTACCTTTGGCTTACATTTCCCTGTTGCCCACTGATATAGATGAATGTGTATACAAAGACGTCCCAGGTTATGCATGGGACCCCTGGGTGCCACCCACCTCCACATATGCACAGCGGCGGGCAATCCAGCGACCGTCTGGCCTGCCACAGCCTAAAAAGTCCGCCTCAGCTCCAGTGTGGTAATTGGAGGAAGTGGAGGCGACATCTCCTGCGCTGGCCACACAGTGATGGAGAGATGGCCTGTATATCATTCTCTCCAGCCGGCTGTTCCTTTGAATTAGAGACAGAGAGAAAAAGGGAAGAGGCATGCAGTGGAGAAACCGTGCATGCTTCTGTCCTCCCCTCAGTGGGATGAATAATTTAACAGTGCAGGGCCCTTGCTGTCGAGTAGAGATGGTGGTAATGGGGAGACTGGATATATACGGCGTGGCATGGAGCAATGCTTTACGTTGGACTTCCCCAACCAACGCACTCAGCTGTGCTGCAGGCTGCTCACATCGTGCGTTTTGCCTGCATTAATGTTTTTGTTTTTATTTATCGGGGGAGGATCTAACAGACGTCTAGAAACGATGCTGTGGCCACTAGCAGGGGGGGTGGAGGCAGACGCTCAGTCAAAGCTGTTGTGATTGGGTCATCTGTGGTGCATTACAGTTTTTCTTTTTTTCTTTTTTTTTTTGAAGAATTCATATGTGGTTTTATTTCACGCTCCATATATGTGCTGCATTGAGCTGTGTGGAGGCAGAATAAAGGTCTGCAGCCTCTCTGGCAGAGGCTGTTGGAATTCATGACGAAGACCATAAAGAAGCAGAGCCGATCAGCCATTCTGGACGGCGGGGGGGTCCGTGAGCGCGGCCCCGCCG